TATTCTGACAAGTCCCTGTACACCCAGCTGTGCTTTTACCGGTACATTTTTGATGTGGACTGTGCACTGGAGAAACTTATTACCGATCATGAGAAAGGTACGTTAAAATACTGTAATTACCTTTGAGTTTAAAGTAGAAATTTGCATCATAAAAGCCAGACCTACTGTGTCAGGCTGTTCACGCAGCATCACACCGCTGTCTCAGAAGCAGGTCGTGGGGGCTGTTGTGAGCACAGGCATCCCCTGCATGAGGGGCGGCGGCATAGGAATCCCCAGCTTTGGCCCCCACAGCCTGTCTCACATTGTTCTCTATTAAAGCAGGGCTTTGGGGGAGGAACAGTACAAAAAGGACTCTTTAAATGCTATATTTTGAAAATGCTATTTTCTATAGAGTTTAGTAATTGTAATAAAGTAAGCATAGGCAACGTGATCATTGGACCTACAAAAACCAGATATTACCACAAAAAAATAGACCTGGAGTGTGTCTCTGCTGTTCTCTAAAAGCCTAGGTTCATTTTGAAAGAGAGGGATGGGGTGGAGTTCTTTTATTGACTCCATCCTAAGAGAGCGTATAGGCGCCTCAGCCCAGATGATCAGGTGCTGCCTGTAACTCTCACACAAGATTTGCCGGCACTGTGGGGCTTAATGGGTCTGGGAAAAGCTTTGTTACATAACTTAAAGTATTAGAAAATGTCGTGACAAGTGCATGGTTTTTTTCTCCTCCCTGAAAATCACATTGACAACTTTTCTGTTACCTGTAAAAAATAAAAAAGGCAAATTTACACATTTTCCTTATTTGTTACCTACAGAGTGTTTATGTTGTTTGTCGGTGAATATCAATTCAACATTTTGTTGGTCGGTATTAGGACTGGAGGCAACCACAAGGGCATATAGAAACCTACAAATATTGCTGGATTTTCTCACATAAGAATCCCCCTGCTGCCCTTAATTTGATCTTAACTGTTTTCAGTTCTAGTCATAATTGACTTCAGTTTTTCCATCTATGAGATAGGCTAGAAATTATTTTTTAAAAATGCCTTGACTTATTTGGTTTTGCTGTCCTTGGATATAAAACATTTTATGACTGATGGAGGACTTACTTGGACTATCTTCACAGCATATTTTCAGTAAATTAGTAAAATTTGTATAGAGAAAAAAATTCCTTCTGTCCATTAATAACTAAGTTTTTGAACTTCCATTCGTGGCTAACGTCTAGTCCATATTTACTTGCCACGTCGTTAATAGCTGTTTCTCTTTTACCCCCAAGGACCTTTCCTTAAAGGCGTTCTGAGTTGACAGATTTAAGTACTGTTTCTCTGATGAGTACACTGTCTATCTCTGTCATAATTATTACTTGTTTCTGGGAATCGTTGTATTAGAACTTTCTCTCCCTTTACTTCTTTCTGAATCTAGCCATCCTAGATTGTTCCCTAGATGTTCTTAGACTCCAAAAGGATAGATTCCTCTTCCAGACATCTCCAAAATTCTTACCTGAGAGACAGAATCAGTCGTTCATGATCAGCAGTTTTCAAAAGTCCGGTGACTCTTGGAGTCGTGTAGGAGTGATCTGGAAAGTCACTGGAGACTCAGCCCAGCTTTTTAGAGAACATCGAAGAGTGTACACTGCTCTCCTGGGAAATAAGAGGGACTAGAGTAGCCACTTGGAAGCTTCTTGCTTGGCAAAAGGGGAGAAGTATTGGCAGAATCTGTACACTCACAGTATTTACTGTAGTTTCATTTCACGAGTTTAAGAATCGGGACACTTTTTTTGTCATTTGCTTCTAATAAATACACTCTCCAGGAATTCAGGGTCAAAACGGCACTAAGCAAATTATTGATGGGTTCTTTTACATGTCAGAAGGCTAAAGAAAATGAAGCAAGAGAAGGATATGAAATGTATGTGTGTGACAGAAGGAACTTCATGAAATGTTCCAAGTCTTATTTATGGAATTTTAATTATTGAAAGTATTTTTTTCCTTTGAGCTGCCGTCTGCTTATTTATTATTCCTAACTTACAATTTAGGAATGAGTGAATTATCTGAAATTTACTTGCTCAGAGTGTTTTCAGATCATTCAGTAATGCCAAGTGGTGTTAGAGTATTTGTTAGTGGTGGGATATAAACCGAAACTCTGGTCATGCTACCTGTGGTCCAAGAGCAGAGGTTTCCTAACAAGCGACATTTGATAAGTCACCTGGGAGCATATAAAAATCCAAATCCGTGGATCCTGCACCCAGAGAGTCTATTTCAGAAGGTGTGAGGTAGAGCTTAGGAAGCTCTACTTTTTAGGAAAAGTCCCCCCAGGTAATTCTCACGTGCAGCCAAGTTTGAGAACCTCTTCTCCTGGGCACTGTGAACAGATCATTTGAATGGTTTCTAAATAAAAGAGAATTGAATACAGATTGTAGTCCATAAGGAACAGTAGGAGAATAAGAATAGTCTTATGGTCCATAGGGGAACAATTATAGGGGAAAATTCCATAAATGTAAATTAATGTAACATATATAAAATTCACTTCTCACTTTAAAAGTTGGAGTGAAATACTCTCTTTTGATGTGCTATTCAAGGGAGGCTTGCTATAAAAATGAATTGAAAATCTGTGGGATCCAGAGGGCAAATGTATTTATTCAATTTGGACCAAGGCCAGAACAGCAATAGACATTAACATCAAAAGTCCTGTGAAAAATGACAGTCGTTATACACAGTTATATTATTGAGAATGGAATCTAGGTATCGTCTGTCAACAAGTGCCCTGGAACTGGCGTGTGAAGTATTGACCATAGATTCTCCTTTACTATCAGTACCTAGCAACATTTCCTTCGCTGCGATTGTTTTACCATTTCCATTATGAAGCCCATATTTTAAGGGTTGTAACTGGATGGTGGTTTTAATTTTTGTTTGAAACTTGGCAATTTACTTGGAAAAAACACGTACAAATTATTTGAAAGTGGTTTATTTATTTTTATGATGAAAAGTAGCTCTTGTCAAAGCTTTTTCCTGTGCTTTGCTTTCAAACGAAGGTTTACAGGCCATTAGTCCATAATGTGAATTAACCCCATTTGGTATTTTTCCCTTTCCTTTAAAATGGTAAGGACTGTTATTCACTTTGGTGAAGTGTTTACTGCATATTCACTGTAACTACATAACATTTTAAAAATCTTATTTCTGTGGGACTTTGGCATTATTATTATAACTGCTCCAGAGTGTACACAGATGGCATAATAGATCCAAAGGAAGTTTTAGAGGAACATAGTAGCAATATATGAAGTAAAAACTCCATTTCCACGATGCCAGCACATAATTTGACTGCCTCATCCCACGGGGCCTTGGCCTGAGTGGGGATAAGTGATCTTCAGTTTGGGGGAGACATGAATCAAATCTTTGCCCAATTGTCTAAATTAAGTCTGCTTAAAAATGCAGGAGGAAAAAGAGTCTCTTAATTTTTCTCAGTTGAGCCTTTTTTGTTTGTTTGTTCAACAGCGCTAAAAACAATACATATATATTTCCTATTGTGTGTTGAGCGCCATCCCAGATGTCAGAAACAAAGAAGGCCAATGCTCCCTACCCTGAAGGGGCTTAAGATTCCATTGGAGACAGACAGATTCAGCAGCAGCTAAGTGTGATAAGCCACTGATCTGGTCAAATTGTCTTGGGAGCAAAGAAAAGGAGCTACTAACTGTCCTTTTTTTTAATAAACTTTATTTTTTAGAGCAGTTTTAGGTTCACAGCAAAATTGAGGGGAAGATACAGAGTTTTCCCATATGCCCCCTGCCCCTACACATGCACAGTCTCTCCCATCATCATCATCTCCCACCAGAGTGGGACATTTCTTAAAACTGATGAACCTACATTGACCCATCATTATCACCCACAGTCCATGGTTTACCGTAGGGTTCACTCTTGGTGTTGGACATTCTGTGGGTTTGGACAAATGTATGACATGTATCTACCCTTATAGTATCATACAGGGTAGTTTTCCTGCTCTAAAAATCATCTCTGTTCCCCCTACTTATCCCTCCCTCCCCCCAACCCCTGGCAACCACTGATCTTTATACTATCTCCATAGTTTTGCTTTTTCCAAAATGTCATATAGTTGGAATCATACAGTATGCAGCCATTTCAGATTGGCTTTTTTCACTTGGTAAGATGCATTTTAGGTTTCTTCCGTGTCTTTTCATGGCTTGATAGCTCATTTCTTTTTAGTGCTGTATAATATTCCATTGTCCAGGTGTACCACAGTTTATTTATCCATTCACGTAATGAAAGACGTCTTGGTTGCTTCCAAGTTTTGGCACTTATGAATAAAGCTGCTATAAACATCCATGTGCGGATTTTTGTGTGGACATAAGTTTTCAACTCCTTTGGATAAGTACCAGCACAATTGCTGGATCGTATGGTAAGAGTATGTTTAGTTTTGTAAGAAACTGCCAAACTGTCTTCCAGAGTGGCTGTAACGATTTTGCATTCCCACCAGCAGTGAATGAGAGTTCCTGTTGCTCCACATCCTCACCAGCATTTGGTGTTGTCAGTGTTCCGGATTTTGATCAATCTAGTAGGTGTATGGTGGTATCTCATTGTTGTTTTAACTTGCATTTCCCTGATGACATATGATGTGGAGCACCTTTTCATATGCTTATTTGCCATTTGTATGTCATCTTTGATGAAGTGCCTTTGGCCCATTTTTTTAATCAGGTTGTTTGTTTTCCTATTGTTGCGTTTTAAGAGTTCTTTATGTATTTTGGATAACAGTCCTTTATCAGATGTGTCTTTTGCAAATATCTTCTCCCAGTCTGTGGCTTGTCTTTTCATTCTCTTGAACACTAATTGCCTTTTCACGTTAATGTTTGATCTTTATTCCTAAAAAAAAAAAAAAGGAAATACTTTTTTTCTGTTTCTGTTCTCTCTTACCAGATGCTTATCTCCTCTTAGTCTGTGTCAGCTATTTGTAGTAGGATGGTGTATTAGTCTGCTATGCCTGCCATAACCAAGTACCACAGTCTGGGTGGCTTAAACAACAGAAATGTATTTCCTGACAGTTCTGGAGGCTGGAAGTCTGAGATGAAGGTGTTGGCAGGGTTTGTTTCTTCTGAGGTATCTC